TGGGAACAGACAAAGTAAGTGCATAAAACCTTTTATTACCTTGGACAATATTTTTTTTCCTGGTAGTCAGGAGGATATAAGCATTTTATATCAGCCAATACCAGTAATTATTGATTAGTTTTTTGTTTTAAATACCTGAAATATTACCAAACTGGTGGTGTGACCTTTCCTGTTTAATCATAGTTTTCCCTCCACTCCATGTGTTTCTTTGTTTTTAAAGCAGTTATGAGGCACAGTGTAGAAACCTTAAACTGTTGCTGCACTAGTTTTTCAGCAGGTTGTTGCTAGGTAACCATAGAATGAGTGAGTTGCTAGGTAACCATAGAATGAGTTAGTTGATTCCACCAACCTTGCTTTGGCTAGCTATGACAGAGGTTGAGTGGCCAAAGCAGGGGTGTCCAAAGTGTGGCCCGGGGGCCATTTTTGGCCCTTGAAATGATTTTGTTCGGCCTCTGACCACAACTAGAGTGAGAACAAATTTGGCCAACAAAACAGAAAACAATTGAAGATCCAAAACATTTAGAAATTGTCTGTTTTTCTTTTAATAAGGCAACAGTCTGAAGCCCTTTTTAGGTTTAATGATATACAGATTTAATACAAAAAAAAATTTTTGTTCAGCAGGTAAACCAAAACAAACAAAAAGAATCACAGTAAGCATTGTTTGCTTTTTTGACTTAATGAATGTTGTGCTCAGTCATTTAAATGAGCAAAAAGTTTGTACACCAGTGGGCCAAAGCCTTTTCCCTGTCTACATCCCCCAGAATGCTGTGCGGTTCAGTGAAATTATTGAATATTCTATCAGACGTATTATCTATTGATACTGATTGTGTGCCTATCGAGATATATATATACTGCTCAAAAAAATAAAGGGAACACTCAAATAACACATCCTAGATCTGAATGAATGAAATATTCTCATTGAATACTTTGTTCTGTACAAAGTTGAATGTGCTGATAACAAAATCACACAAAAATCATCAATGGAAATCAAATTTATTAACCAATGGAGGCCTGGATTTGGAGCCACACACAAAATTAAAGTGAAATGTTCCCTTTATTTTTTTGAGCAGTATATATATAGTAGAGCTAGATTTGCTGTCTAGCTCTACTTCTGACCCATCCAAAGAACACAAGCCTTTCAAGTTTATACACATACAGTTTTAGCTTTAACACTTTATAGTTTCACACAAAAAAAGAAAAAGAAAAGAACAAACAGCTCTGTCCAGACACATGCACCGGAAAGAGTGATTACAAAAGAAGGCAAACTCTGAATCCATAAACAGAGTTTGAAGTGGGTATTATGGTGAAGCTTCTGGGGTAAAATTAGCTAATTTGAGAGAAGCAGCAGGATGCCATCACCGCCAGGCTGGCGGCCTTCGATGTTTGGTTGTATGGCTGAGTGACTTGCTGGCAGCCGGCCTGAAACTCCTAATTGGACAGCATG